GGGGTCCTGGGATCGTGTTGTGGGGTCCTGGGATCGTGTTGTGGGGTCCTGGGATCGTGTGGGGTTTGCGTTCTTTGGGGACTCTGTCTTGCGGGTTTCTTGTTTGCGGCTCTTGGCGGCCTCATCTGCTGCTGCAGCCTGCTTATTTTTTGCTGCTGCTGCTGCTGCAGCAGCAGCAGCAGCACGGCGCCTTGCTTCTGCTGCTTCCCGCTGCTCTGTCTCCAACCTGTCAAACTCCTCTATCAGTCGAGTTTGCTGCGGTGTCAGCGAGCTGGGCAGCTGCAGAAGCAGCAGCAGCAGCAGCAGCAGCAGCAGGTATGTAAGCAGCAACACCGAGCAGAAGCAGCAGCAGCAACACCCCCGAGAAGCACCAGCAGCAGCGGCGGCCGCAGAGATCACAGCAGCCACAGCAGCATCAGCATTCCCAGCAGCAGCAGCAGGATCCCCAGCAGCACCCCCACATCCCCAGCAGCAGCAGCAGCAGCAGCATCCACCGCAGCAGCAGCAACAGCAGCATCCGCAGCATTCCCCCTCATCCCCAACAGCAGCAGCAACAGCATCCACAGCAGCATCCCCCTCATCCTCAGCAGCAGCAGCAGCAGCATCCGCAGCAGCATCCCCCGCATCCCCAGCAGCAGCAGCAGCATCCGCAGCAGCAGCAGCAGCATCCCCAGCAGCAGCAGCAGCATCCCCAGCAGCAGCAGCAGCATCCCCAGCAGCAGCAGGAGCATCAGCAGCATCCCCAGCAGCAGCAGCAGCAGCATCCCCAGCAGCAGCAGCAGCAGCAGCAGCAGCAGCTCACGCTGAGTTGGAAGTGCAGCACGAGGTTTCCTGCTGCAGTTTGCTGCTGCAGCCGGGGGGGCCCCCTGCCCTTGAGGACTTTGAGGGCCCCCGGGGGTGTCTGCGGAGACACCTGGAGGCTGAGGGGCCCCTCGAGTGTGGGGACGGCCACGCGGCCGCCGAGGAGGCACTAAAAGGAAAAAAAAAACCAAAAAGAGGTTTTAAGAGCTCAAAAAAACGCAAATTCCGATTTAATGGAATTATTTCAAACAAAAAGAGAAAAAGAGCTCCCAAAAACATCCAAAAGAACCAAAATTCGAAAAAAAAACAAAAAAAAAACAAAAAATTAGACTTGATGTCAAGACGGCAAATGGTGGGATATTGAAGTGCGAGAAACGGAAAAAAGAAATTCAAAATCATTTTAATTCTTTTCTTCATTTTGAATTCAAATTTATTTATTTATTTATTTATTTATTTATTTATTTATTTATTTATTTATTTATTTGTTTATTTATTTGTTTTTGTTTTATTTAATTACCTGCTTTAGAGACAAAGGCACGTCTGCATGCAGGTCATCGTCAATCCAGCGGAAGACCGCGTGGGGCCGAATATTAATCTGAATTAAAACAATTAAAATAAACAATTAAATAATTAAAATAAATAAATAAATAAATAAATAAACAAATAATTAAAATAAATAATTAGAATTCATCCGCAGCAGCAGCAGCAGCAGCAACAGCAGAGCAGCCGCAGCGGGGCAGCAGCAAAGCAGCAACAATCACCCTACAGCAGCAAAAGCAGCAGCATCACGAACGAAAAGAAAACAGCAGCAGCAGCAGCAGCAGCAGCAGCAGCAGCAGCAGCAGCAGCAGCAGCAGCAGCAGCAGCAGCAGGCTTATTAACTTACGCTAACGAACAAGTGCCCCGGCTTTCCTCCCCGCAAACCCGCGTGGCCCTGGTTGGGCACCCGCATCTGCATGCCGTGGCGAACGCCTGCAGCAGCAGCAGCAGCAGCAGCAGCAGCAGCAGCAGATGGAGTTTGGCAGCAGCAGCAGCAGCAGCAGATGCAGTCGGGCAATAGCAGCGGCAGCAGCCGAAGCAGCAGCTGAAGCGGCAGCACTTGCGTGAGAGCTGCAGCAGCAGCGGCGGTTGTGCAGCAGCAGCAGCAATCGAAGCAGCAGCAGCAGACGGTGCTGCAGCAGCAACAGCAGCAGCAGCAAAAGATTACCTCTAGGCACATCAATGGTGACTGTTCGGGGCTGCATGCGAACGCCCGTCCCTCTGCAGCTTCTGCGGAGAAACACAAGGGTTTAGGGTTTAGGGTTTAGGGTTTGGCTTTTTGCACGGGCTGCGCGCAGCCCCACCTAGGGTTTAGGGTTTAGGGTTTCGCGGCTAGGGTTTGCGGAGCTGCAGAGGCTGGCAAGGGCTCCACAGCTGCTCTAGGGTTTGGAAATTAGGGTTTAGGGTTTGGAAATTAGGGTTTAGGGTTTGGAACTAGGGTTTAGGGTTTGGAGGAGAAAGCTAGGGTTTAGCGTGTGAAGCGCTATCTGCTTCACCGCGGCCAGCGCCAGGGTTCAGGGTTTACGGCATACGCCCCCCCCCCCCCC